CCAGCTGCCAGGCTGGGCGTGACCTGCTCCCTTGACCCTGGCTGCAGGGCTTCTAAGAGCGACATGAAAACACCGGGAGTAACAGGTATGGAAGCAGGTATTCTGCAGACACAGGAACACCATCCATATACTGAGCACCAAAGGGGTGCTCCGTGCAATTCTTGTATGGATCCTGCGTGATTAACTTTTGTATTTACTTTATAGGATGAGAATGTGGCTCACAGAGGTCAAGTGAAAGCCCAAGTCATATGGCTACTAAACCACACAGCAGAATTAAATTCCGGCCTGACTCCCTCCAAGCTACCCCCCACCAGCTTCAGTGGACACATTTAGCAATAAAACTCCTTTGGCTTGGGATTAGTCCCTCTGTCCCCATTTCCCTCTTGGCTCTCCTAACTTCTCCCTTTCAGCTGGCTTCTTCCTCCTGGCTTATAGTCATGCATCCTCCTCCAATCTTAAAGTAATGTGTCAGGCATGGGGATACACATCTCTAAGCTCAGCTACTTGGGAACCTGAGGCAGGGATTGCAAGTTCAAAGCCAGCCCGGGCAGTTTAGAGAGACCTTGTCTCAAAATTAAAAATGAAAAGTGAGGGAATATGTCTTAGTAGTAGAGTGCGTCTGGGTTCCATTTCCAATGTTACACACAAAAAAGGCAATGCATACAAACTCCCTCAGCTCCATGTTCTCCCTCCTTCCCTGCACTCCACACTTGCCGCCTCCAGACCCCTTCCCTTGACTTCCCCAAGCCACTGCACTTCATGAAAATTACTCTGGATAGAACCCAAGGGCCCTTTCATGGTCCTGCTCTGTCAGTAGATCTCAGTCCTGGCAACAGCTGGCATTTCTGGCTGCCTCTTCCCCGTCACAACATCCTCCTGCCTCCATTTCTATGGCTCCCTCTCTCCTGGTTGACAAGTTCGCCAATGCAGTCTCTACCTCTGCTGCCTATTCAGTAGACGTGCATCTCCCTCCTCTATGCAGAGAATTGCCAGCTCCTTCTCTGCACTCCTGGGCAACCTGGGTGTACGTGAGGCTTCCATTCCTTGTCCTGATGTCAGATCTGAGCTTCAGTGTCACAGTCGGAATTTCTAGACATAACCTCTGGGTGTGCAATGAGTCTTAAGTGGCACTGCATTAGAAATATTTTTTGAGACAAGGTCAAAGAAACAATTCTGCTTCAGCCTCCAGAGTCCTGGGATTACAGGTGTAGGGCCACCATCCCTAGCTCCAGCACATTTGAAACTGGACTCATTTTCTTTTCCTTAATCTGCCTCTCTTACATTCTCCATCTCAGCTGGCATTATCCCCTCTCCCACCCAATCACAGCATTCAGATAACCCACCCATGACCCAAGCAGGGAACCAAGTCTCCCGCCATGCCCTTATGCCTGCATCACTCCATGCATGCTGCCCCACACCACTTCCACATCCTTCTCCCACCACCACTGCCTGAGTTCCAGGGCTTCAGGGTCAGCTGTGCTCAACCCCCAACATGCCATGCTCACCTCCAGCCTCACATCTGCTCACCCATCCCCAAGACCACTGCAGCTAGAATGACCTTCCTCATATGGAAGGCTGGCTTCGTTCCCCCAGCTTACAGCCCTCCAAGGATCCTCCATTGTCTTAAAGACCTGGCCTCTATGTACCTCTCCACCTTATCTCCTACCACCACAAACCCTGCGCTCTGCTCAGGGCAAAATCCCTACAGATCTCAGCTGCCCTCTTCACTTTCAGCTGTTGCTAAATCTGCCTGCACTGCTTTCCCTTGCACCCTTTCCCTGCTGAGGTCCTGTGCCTGCTTCCAAGACCCATGTCCCTCCTCCAGGGGGCTTCTTCACCTCCCCAGCAGAGCCGAGCTGCTCTGCTCTCTGCTACGCACACACCTGCCTAATATCTGTCACAGCCCCATCACCTTCCAACCGTGCCTGTGTACAGGTGTTCATTCTCCCCTGAGGGGCGGAGGCTATGCCATGTTTGCATTGAAAGGACATGACTGTGGGGCAAGGTACCCCACTGGAACCCAACTGGTATTTGTAGAATCACACATCATGACAGTCAGAGACAAAGCCTACTTTAACTGAAAAAAATCCAACCACTTCTTCATCTGCTCAGCCTTTGTGTATTGAGTATCTTCTCAGGGTCTGGTCCTCCTGGGCGCTGGATTCCAGGATGTGTGGAATGCCACTCTGGTCCTCGGGGACTTCAGAGGTCAGTGGTTAAGAAACCCTGGTAAGAGCATCCCTGGCTCCTTCTGAGTAGATGTAGTGGCCTCAGGGTGGATAAATGTGTGCCTAATGTTGTATTGGGGTATAAGGAGTAGGCTCTGTCCCACCTCTGTTAGATGCTGTGACTGAGGATCAAGAGGACTTGTTAGGCCTGCATTCAGGAATGTGGTCATCAACATCTCCAAATTAAACTTGAAAATCATGACATCTAATATTGAATGCCAGGGACCACTGAAAAACAATACTAAACTTTGTGCCATAGATTCCTCTATTGTATCTCCCAGCTGGCGTTCATGCTTATATTTGCATCTGCATCTGGAGATCTGTATCTTTATCAGTAAATATTCAAACACCTGTATAAAAATAACTGAAATGAAATAAATCCATAAGAGCTTTGCATTTCAACTACAGTCTTGTGTTCTGAGCCAGCAAGTCCCTTAGTGGGAACACAATTCCGACTTTGCTATCTTCTGCTTCAAAGAGTTGCACAGATATCAGCCCTCCTTTTAATTCAGCATGATTTGGTAATAGGACCAATCAGAAATTGTATGAATTAAAATGCTCCAAGCTTTACAATGTTAATACAGTAAGACTGTTTCTAGGTTTTCTGAGGAGCTGATTCACTGAACACAAGACGAGTTTAAATCAGAGCACAAAGCAAAAATTTTAAGTTCCAGATTTAAAAAAAGTATTGCTCTGTTTCAGAAGAGAAGCATGCCTTTTGTTGGCACGGATGTCAGAACAGCACTAAAAAAAACCATCAAAGATAGACACACCGGCAAGCGCAAGGTCGTGAGTTCGGTTCCCAGTACCGGAGAAAAACCAAAAAAAAAAAAAAAAAAAAAATAGACACACACACACACACACACACACACACACACACACAATTCCAGAGCATTCCGATGGAACACCCTCTGTCTTTCCCATGTGTGTCGTGGAAAACCCGGCCAGAACGATCCTGCAGAAACTTCCCGATGAAAGCAGTCCGCCCTTCCCAAGCGTGAGGCCGGCTGTCGCGGAACCGAGCCCGGGCTGCAGCGCTTCCTCTGCTGCTCCGCGACGCTGGGCCCTGCAGGCAGGGAAAGTCTACAGCTGATTGAGCGGCGCACTGCATCCACAGTCCTTAGCACGCGGCTGTGCGGCGGGGGTGGGGCGGTGGGTGTCCACCGCTCAGCCCCATCTGGCAGAAAAGACTCCAGATTAGCAATCCAGGAGTCACGTGAGACAATTTACGCCTTCCCTCTACTAGTGTTAAGCACCCCTCCCCCTCCAGCCTGCATCCGGGCGTCGCTGCGGTGTCTCCTTTGCAGGGTGTGCATTCCCCAAAGCAGCTTAAAGACAGAAGGGGGGAGAAAAAAGAAGGTGACTTCTTTGTTCTTTCACCTGGCAAACCCAGCCTTATATAATTCCCCACCTCCCACCGACACTCCAAGTCTGCACATTTCTCTCATGCTCAAGCTGAGCGCGGGCTGCCTCTTTGGTTAAGACGTTCCTTGTTCCTGACCCTGGGCTAAGTGCCTCTCCGGTTTTATTTAAGTCTCCCAGCAACTCTTGAAAGTAGGTGGCATTATCCCTATTTTTTATACGAAAGGCACTGAGGCCAGAAAATAATTTGGCACAGACCCCAAGGTGGGTCTGACTCCAAAACTCTAGTCCTCTATCACTACGTTTCATGCTGGGAAAAAAAAAAAAAAAAATTATTCTTACCGAGCAATTACTGTATCTCAGGTATTGAGCGAAGTATTTTTCCAAACTACGCTGAGACAAGTCTGCCACTTACCAGGTATGTGATCTCGAACAACTTCCTAACCCTCTTTTTGACTCAGTTTCCCTGTCTGCAAAGCGAGGCTAAATGTGAAAAGCGAATTAATGCATGTAAAGCCCTTAGAACAGACAAGTATTAATAATCCCTGATATTGTTGCCTTTTAAACAACCATCGTTCCTAGTCTCAGGAGAGGAACCTAGGCTTGTAAGGTTAAGGACCGCATTGGCCCAGGTCGCCCGGTGCGCGTCCTGCAGCACAGGCTCACTCTGAGGTCGCGAGATCGGGGCTTGCTGCAGGCGAATTACACCTGCCAGGCGGGAAACGTGCTTGGGCGTTGCGGCAGAACGCGCGGCAGCCAGGGAAGCCTCGAGGGGTCGGGGATTAATGAACATGCGAGGACTTGGCATTTTACACGCAAGGGTGCCCAGAGTCGGGGATCCCACCCGACCTCACAAAACGCTCTGCGCAAGACGCTAGCACGCGGGGTCCGCGGTCAGCCGGAGCCCCCAGGCCGCGCGCACGGACGCGCGCGCCCGCACC